GGCAAGATATCGCTTGAAGAAGACAAAGGGACTGCGAACTTTGCTTCAATTGTGACATGCGATGAAGAATACGAAAGTTTCACTTGTAATGTGACGAGCGAGCAAGAGGATGTCCCAAATGATGAAGAGTCGACTGATGATAAAGAACGATGCGATCCTGAAGACAATGATGCAACAGTCACTTTTACAGATGAAGACTTGATGTTGGGCTCAAAACCCCATAATAGGCCTTTATTCGTAACTGGTTACACTCGCGAGAAAAAGGTGAATCGCATATTGATAGATGGAGGTTCTGCTGTGAACATTTTGTCTCTACGTACTCTAAAAGAGCTGGAGGTCCCGACAGATGAACTCTTAAATAGTCAGTTGATGATTCAAGGCTTTAACCAAGGGGAGCAACGAGCTCTCGGCATAATTAGATTGAAGTTAGTAATAGGGGAGTTGACTTCAAATGCTCTTTTCCATGTGATAGATGCCAAAACCTCTTATAACATGTTATTAGGGCGGCCTTGGTTGCATGAGTATGGAGTGGTGCCTTCTACTTGGCATCAATGTTTCAAATACTGCCAAGATGGTGTAGTTAGAAAGGTTCTTGGAGACGATAAGCCTTTTACTGAAGCCGAGTCTTATTTTGCTGATGCTAAGTATTATTTTGAAGAGGTTAAGGTTTTTGGCACTAAAGACGTTCCCATCAAACAACCAAATGGAGCCAAAGAGAAGAAAGCCAAGAATCTTGCTGGGAATGACCCTCTTGATGGGCTGGTGTTGCCGTTACCTAGTCTCGATGCCAAGAAACCAACCACGCAACCCCTGGGAAAGTTTGTCTGCCCAATCGAAGGAGCTAAGACGGAGCACCGGGGGGAGCTTCAAAACTCTAAGTATTACGACCCAAAAGCATATAAACTTCTTGTCAAATCTGGATACGATCCAAAAGAAGTGAGTACTTTGGGAACACTTATTCCGCAAGCAGCAAAAGCTCAAAAGAAGGATACTGGAGTTCCAAAAACTAGAGTTGGTCTCGGATTTGTGGCACCAAATCCCGTTCGGATCACTATAAAACGAGTCAATTCTAATCATGTGTCCGAGGAAGGATTTTCATCC